TCACTCACGCGCTAGAATTTTCCAGTACTTTCTCGAAATCAAAAAGAGATATTTATTTATTTAATGCACGCGCTCTTGTATTTTTCAATTTTCCGGCTTAGCTTTCTTTTAATATTCGTCACGCGCTGCACTGCGCGAGAAATAAAACCATTTAATTTATAATTGAACTAACATTAGGTTTTTAAATACCAAATTCGTAACAATAATATGATTATATATTGCACAATGTATAATTAAGAAGCTCTTATGACTTTGAACAGTAAAAGAAATTAGCTATGTATTTTTAAGAAGTTACTATAACTATCTAAATAACATAGAAAAGTAAAATGTAGTATATATTTTTAAGAAGCTTTATGACGTGCCGTATATTCTGGCGTACAGCGCGCAATTTTAATACAAAAAATAAAATGCGTATTTACAAGTGAGTGTTTTACGTCGGATATAAAAATAAGGAAAAGATGAGCATTAAAAAATTAGATTTTTACGTATATCTAAATGCTGTTTATTTTAAAGAAATGTCATACCTTATGAATTTAAAACCTTTCATTAACGTATAACATGAAAAATGTGTCAGTTTCGTCTACCGTTTATCTTTCAGCCACTTCATCGAATTCTGTTTCACCTGACCATCACTGTTACTCAAATCCATAAATAAATGATCATCTTTCGTTTTATCTACAATACATTATTAGATATACTACATTTTAAGTGAGTTTTGAATTATGTCGGTTTAATTTCATGCTATGCATTTATTATCGACTCACACACTATTTCTAGACTGGCATGACGCATTCGAACTCATTTTGTAAACTCTTTTTTCACCTTATAACATCCACATAGTCCACTGCCGTTTCAAATTTCCTTTAATGGTTTATTGATAAGTATTTCTAAAGGCTGAACTAATGGCGCTAATCCGCGTGGAATAACAAATATGCCTATGTTACAGCCTTTCGTCATTCTTCTCGTTATCCATTAGATATGATCTGAACATGTCTAAAAGACTTTCTGGATTCTTTAAGGTAACAGGACGCTTTTTCCAAACATTTCTTGTCCACAATTTTACACGGTTTTCGTTCATCATCCTTTCTTATGAACATTAATGAAAACACCATTTTGGAAATTACATTTCCGCGTGGTCTTTCTTTTAAAAATAACCATCGGCTTTAATTTTGTACGGTTCCGTTAAACAGGAAAGCAGTACAGTGAGTTGAGATATTGCGTCACCTGTTGTTTTTTATATGAACCTTTTTTGTTCCTTTTCCAGCAATTGTTTTATTTCCTATCAATATCCAACATCGCTTGAGTTTCACTCACATTTTCAATATATGGTAACAATATGTTACAATAAATATTTTCTTTTTGCATTCGTATCTTAGCAACGTAGCTCTGAAAATTTATCAATTTGTTATACAAATCTTTCGGTAGTCTTCGTGAAACTTTTGTTTTTTAAGACATTGAAAATTTGAATCTGATAGACCTGCTGAAGTGAGATATTTTTGTTCTTGATATTAGTATGATGCAAGAAGAGTTAATTGGATTGAATGGATGTCTTCAAATATTAATATTATTTAAAATACATCTGCATGCTAAGTTTTGAAGTTTAAAAGTTATTCGTAAGAAATTCCAAATTAAAATTGTTATCGAACAATATTACTAACTTTTCTCTCTTATTACTTAGTAGCATTAGGCTTTTCACAAAATAATAATTTAGTGCCGAAAACAAGAATGAAGTTGAATATTTTTGATTGAGGATTTTTGATTTAAGAATTAAGTTCAATTGCGTGCCAAATATTAAAAAAAATATATCAATACATTCAAGCGCAGGCATAACATTAATTAAAACTGAACTTCTGTGATTTTGTTACTGAAAACTTGTTTATATTTGGAAAATAAAAAAATATTAGTTACACGAAAAGTAATAAAACATAAATTTAACGAATTATTTATTTTCAAAACTTTTGTGTGCATTCTGAGTCTAATTATTATCTTTAAGTTATTTATGTTCAATTATTTACATTTTGATTGTATTTTACGCTGTATGTTATAGAGCAAAATGTAAAGAGAGTCAATGAATAAAACCATTCTTTTAAAAAGAATTGGTGCAAGAAAAAGATCGAGAATCCTTGGTGTAAATAATAAAAACAATATATATAATGCATGTATTTAAGAAGCTACGTTGTTTTGCTCTGCGTAATAAAGAAAGTTAAAATAATGCTATACATGTTTTTAAGAATTTTTAAAATTAATTTATGGGAGTGTATAGGAAGGGTAGGTTCCCTTAAAGGGCTCAACGAATGTTTGTACTGTAAATACTAATGGAAGAGATTCCAAGTCTGTTACTACTGTTTTCTACTTGCTTTTATAGTTATTAATTGTAACAAGTACTCTTTTTCTAAAACTAGATTACGATTCACAACTCACTCAATTTTCTCCCCATCAGTCTTCAGAGGTAGATAAGAAATAATTTAATTGTTTAACGTTTTTGAAACAAATATGAGTTTGATCTCTTTTTTTTTCCAGCAGAAGTAAAAGTATTTTATGCATATTTCCTTTATAATCATTGCTTTAATTAGATAAGATAAGATTAGAATGGAAATCTTTATTATTTGCTGTCAAAAAAATGTATCTTATTTACTCAGACTTTTAAATGGGTAAGAATTATCTAGATTTTTACAGTCATTCGTATTTATCTCCTATTGTTTATTAGGGTCATTACTACAATGCATGCCATCTCATTATAGTGAAATTTGACATCTTATCTGTAATTGATCTCTTATCTGTAAGTGGATAACTCTTGAAAAATTGTTTTTCATTATCTCATTGGTGCTTATCTCTCATTAATGCATACATGAAAAAAAATTCAGTTTCCAGATTAACTTTAAGAATGCAATTTAAGTATTTGAATAATATTCGATCGTAAGAAAGTTCAGTTATTCTATTATTATGAACATAATTGCCAATTTTGTCAATGATTACTTGAGAACACGAATCTGTTCTTTGTAAATTAACTACAGTTATGACAATATTTAATGAAACTTGAGTAATCAAAATATTTCAAACTTCAGTTAGGATTTTTGGTTTTAATATTTCTACGTGACATATTTATTTATTTAATGTTAAAATGCACGTGCTCTTGTATTTTCAATTTTTCCGGCTTAGCTTTCTTTTAATATTCGTCACGCGCTGCACTGGGCGGGAAATAAAACCATTTAATTTATAACTGAACTAACATTAGCTTTTTTAATACCAAATTCGTAACAATATTAATACGGAAAAACAATATTCAACTTTCCAACACATGTAATTCTAATTTTCCTTTGTTAATATAATTTTTGAAACATTTGGTGTTCAGCAGCATACCTTTATGGAATTCAGGTTACCTCTCCTGATTATGAGTAACAGTTAAAGCACTATTAACACCTCATTGATACACACATTTCGTTCACATTTAAAAATTATTTGAAAAATACCAAAATCTTACCTTCTTGTACAGAAAGCTTAACCTTTCCATATCACTGAAAAGGAAATTCACGAAAGCAAGAACAAACTGGCAAACGCAAAGCACTATCAATAAACTGAAAGTGTTATGCCGCCAATTTTTAATTATTGTAAACACAATAATCAGCGCTTACTCAGCAATGGCACCATCGATCAACAGTTAGACAAAACAAAAACGGAAAACTTCCAGTGACGCAATTATAAACAAGAATGCAGATGGTTCTCATAAAAATCCATCAAATTGCCTATTGACACTGAGAAAAACTGCCTTATTAACGACTACAATAGCATATGTAGGAAAAGAGAATTTCAGTTCGCGCTATTATTGATAACAGCAGCATATCCATGGATACCAACTTTTACTTTCAAATGTCGCTCAGATACACCTGCAAAAGTCGCTAAGTTCAGATGGAATTTCGCTAAAAGCAGTAGCTGAAATTTAAAAAAAAAAAGTATAATCCATATTCCATAATAGGTTTTGTTACTCGTCATTTTTTATACTGAATCTTCATAAAAATATAAATAATGTCCCAATTTATCTGCGGTCAATCAGAAGTTTTTCACGGACCACCGGTTGGCGACTGCTGCTTTAATAGACGCTTTTTTATGGTAAGATTCATAACTTTTGTATTAATCCACTGCTTATTATTCTGTAGAAGATAGATCCCAAATTTAAGAATTTTTTATATGGAAAAAAGAAATACAGAAATGACAGTTAATTTATATCCTTGTTTATAAATACAAAACGTGGCTTATAGAGAAGCAAGCAGGGTTACATCAAATGGAAGTGCAGATGTTTTGAGTGTGTAGTTAGGTCATGCGTATCCATAACTGGCGATAAATTGCGCTGCTTGGCGACAGGTTCACAGTCGACAGGATAATAGGTTATATGCCCAAATAAATTTCCACGTAATGTGGAATGGTTAAAAACAGTAAATTTTACGATGCAGTAATTTGAGATCACTTTACAAAATTCATGTAGTCATAATATTAGCCTACATTTTAGAAATCATAATTTTGAAAAGACGCTATCGGTAGTAAAAATAGATAAATTTGTTTATATTTTTATTAGATTATGATAAGTTTCAATGAACATTGTTAGGCTTCTTGATCTTTAGCTATACATCTTATTATCATTTATTGACACTTTAAACATTGACATGTCAGTTAGCGCTCTAAACAAAACTTCCATTATCTATAGGAAATGTCAGCCGATATTTTAAACAAAGTGGGTCATTTTCAAAATATATAATGATTGATCCTTATTTTCAATTATTGCAGTTAATAAATTATGTGAGATATTGATTAAAACTCGGCAAATTTTGCGACAGCAAAATAATTTTATGTTTATATATCGCAATACCTTTGTTTCACATAAAACGTCAAATGGCGTTGTGCGTAGGCGAATATTAAATTTTATGTAGGACGCAAGTTGGCGTTCCCACCGTTAAAGAGCTAAATTATGATTTTGTCAAAACTTAACTGTTATTTCTTTTATTCAGAGCGTGCAGTTGAATACGACAAAGAAGCGCAGAGAGGTGATGATTATTACAAAACAAGTGCCGAAGACCCTTTTCGGCATTCTCAATTGTCACGCCCTCAAGAGGACGATTACGATGATTCTTTCGAGAATCCCTATGGACGTGGTAATCCTTTTGAACAGCGTAATCCCTTTGGACAACGTGATAGGGACCATTCATATGAAGAAGTAGGAAATGGTAAAGGTTCATCTTTTCCCTACGGAGACAAAAATGACAACAGATATAGACATGAGGATTACAGCAAAGAAGAATCCTATGAGTCAAAAGAGGATGGTGGATATGGAGGTAAACCGCCTTACCTTCAGCAGGGTTTTGAGCCATCTAGGAAGCAACAGCAGCCAGCATATGACCCCTTGGATGTACCGGATGCCGACGGGAAGTCTGGATATGGAGTTCAAGGAACTAAAATTTATCCACCCAAGCCACAAGAAGAAAGATTATTCTATCCACGAACTCCAGCAGCTCATAGGTAATGCTTGCATTTGCTCATATATATTTGCATTTGCTCATATAGGTATTTGGTACTATATATAGATATTTTCGCAATACTTTTATACTTCGAATGTTATGATAGATAATTTATGCAGTATACATTGATTTATTAACTAAAAATTATTATTATTATCACCCCCCAGTTTTCTAGCGTTATGTTTTGAAAATTTTAAATATGTTCCCATAATTTCCCCCTTCCTCTATTTGCATAATTTCCGCCTTCCTCCTACAGTTTTCCCTATGAGGGCTAGTTTATTGGTAAACTGTACTGTATTGATTAATTATACTTTTATTCAATTTGTATTTGTCTTTTTTTATTAGCACTCCGTGCATTTTATTTTCACCTACATTTATTATTTGAAACATATTTTGTGCGGATTCTTCAGTAAGCCACCCTGACGTGGCAGGCACAGTTAAAAACCTTCCCAAATATGTAAATTCACTTCATTTTTATTATTCACGTTATAGCTTATTGTAGCCTTATCTGCTGCTGCTATGTTAGGTATAGCAGCTCTAAAAACCCCTACTTTGTATGATACTGGTTCCACTAATATTATAGACTTCTTCCTGCTCAGAAATACCAGTTATCCACTCCATATTTCTGTGTTGGATGAAATCTTTGATCGCAAATTAGAATTAACGTGGATGCCAATTAGAATTAACGTGGATGTAAGACATCATATCAGACCAAGTAAAAGAGCCATTATTACTGACTGGCTGAAATACGCCAATGCTATAAACCAGCGTTTCTCAACCTTTTGACTAACGTGTAGCATCTAAACAAAAATTGAAAACCTTTACATCACTACAAAGTACTACTACTACCACCACCACTCTTGAACAAAGCTCAACTCGCATAAATTTACGAGTGTTAGAAAAAAACTCAATCAGGTTGTCGGGGTTTTAATTTTTGAATTTAATAGTTAAAATACTATACTTTTTTGCGTACCACCAGTTGAGAACTCCTGCTCTAAACGATATTCACTGCACTTTGCAAACATTTCATTCCGGGAATGACTGCACTTTGAAGACCTGGCTTAAAAACGACAAATTCATGTGAATGTTGACAAAACAGCCACAGTCCTATTCACCAAGGAGAAGAAAATCAATACAATTTTTTTTTTACGAAGCTACTCCGTCCTTGTCTAAACAAGTCCCTTATCTTCGAGTATTTCTCACTTATTCTCTCTCATGGACCCCATACATTACGTTTCGAGCGCGTAAAGCTGAACTCCATTCTTTACGTTTTCGAAATAGCGTTTTATCTGTTGATAATTAGTTACTCGTTTATAAATCCATTCTCTCTTATGTTTGTCCAGTTTGAATTAATTCCAGTAAAACACAAAGAAAGCCTTTGCAAACCGATCAAAACTATATATTGCCGCAGATAACCAACTCACCGTGGTACATTAGAATTAATATCATTCACGAAGAACTTAAAATAGTTCAGTTAAGGATATACTGTTGTTATCATTTGATCAAAAGTTTTCTCAATAGCCAGAAACTAATTAATAATCCTATGATAAAAATTTGGAATTATACCTTTACTGATACTAATAATATTAAAATGTCAATGGTCATCTTAACTCCTCACTTAATCATTTAATATTTTGAAATTATGTTGTTATTATGTAAATTTTATTCTGTATGTTTATTTACTGTTTTTCTGTGGCACCATGATTCTGCACCTTTCTTTTCTAAAGGACAACTCACCAGCTTGACAGCTCTATCCCCTAAATTTTTAACAGACGTGCTGGTACTTTGTTTTTAATTTCTGCATCACTTAGATTTTCGATTAAGTTATTTTTGGCAATGATTTCGAAATTTTTAACTGCATCCAATTTGGGATACGGCATTATGCCCAAGTACCCAGGTGTTTAATACCGTCTACATTGCGAACTACAAGATCAAAATACCTGTGTTCTCCGAGATTCGAACCCGGATTCATCAGTACGGCAGTCAGAGTCGCTAACCATTATAGCAATCAGGGCGGCTTTTGATGTAGGCAAAATGATTGAACATTTTTCTTAAAAACATTTATTTCCTGAATTTGTCTACAGTTCCATACTTTCCGCATAATTTCCTTGTCAGTTTAAACACATATAGAAACGAGCAACGAGTTCTCGGGTACCATCCTCATACAACTCTGTCTCCTCTCTGTGTTCGAAACTCTCACCACATTTTCGAACTTTAATATCATTCATTGCATTGTCTATCTGGTGATAAATAACTACAAGTTTTCATGTTTCTTGCTGTTAAGAACCAGATAGATGACTGTATTTCATAGTCGATGGGGTACTCGATTTTCTTAAAACATTTTAATCTCACACTACGAAGAGTACAGACTGACGCCGTGCCTGAAAGTGGCATCGAATTCTGCGCAAATATACCAGGAGCTTAAGAACTCACTTATTCATTCACTCATAACACTACTAAAGAAAGCTTAAAGTTTCAAATGATATTCACAAACGGATCTTATGTAAAGTATAACTTATATACCAAAGAAAGTTTAAAGTTTCAAATGATATTCACAAACGAATCTAATGTAAAATATCCGTTTGTGAATATCATTTGGATGTAAAATATAACTTAATATATTTCTTTTTCAGATATTCACGAACACAGAAGCCAAAAGAGAATGAATATCAGTCTGAAGAAAAAGACGAAAGTTACTATTCTGGGATTCCAAAGGAAGCCGGTTACATTCCAAATGACCATAAAGAGCCAGAATATCTTCAACGTCACACAAAAGGATCTGGTCCGAAAGTGGCTGGATATTTGCCGAGAACGCCTACAAAATCTGGGTTCACCCCAGTGTTGCCAAAAGAACAAGCATCTGTTTTTCCAGGTAACGGAAATGTGGCCATTTATATCAAACAGCTTGGACATTCCAAAACCGAGGGTCGTTCTGGAAATAGTAAAGGCAAAGAACGCCATGGCTATCTACTCCTCCCAATCGCGCCGGAGAAAATTGGAAAAGAGTTTCAACTAGCTAAAGTGGGAGTTTACGGAAGCAGCGAGGAAAAGGATGCACTTCATGAAGGCAAGATCCCAATTTATGGTGAGCGAAGGTAAGGAAAATAACTATATCATGTTACAGAAAACACAAATTAAGTTTTGAGGAAGAAATAATTAAAAAATTAATGAATTCCTGTTCAATATTATACACGACTTTTGTTTAAAACTAGAACGGCTTTGGAACACACTTGAAGCTTAAGAAGGCATAACGCATACTTTTTTATGTTAATTATATTTTTTTGTACTCTGTCATGACATTAAATGCTATACCTTGGGAAAAATGTAAAAACTTTTCATAATGTAACGCTGCAATTTAGAGAAAGCATAGCGTTGCTCTTAAATGAAAGAAGAACACTTCTAACAGTTAAAACAATCAGTGCAACGCTCAAACAGCTTAACAGAGTATTAATTACTAATTTATGAATGCCTATCAATTAAATGTGAGACGACAGATACGTGTAATTTTGGTTTTTGTTAAAAGAAAATTAAGCAGCATAGGGCGTGATCAGTATCGGGGGTAGGGATGACCACTTGTAACCAGTGCATGCTGTTGAAAATGTTCGTTTTCTTCTGTAAATAATATGCAGAGAGAAAATCGAAGTGTAATAGAATTATTTGAGCAATATTAATTTCAAATACGGCAGTATTAATTATTAATTTAATTAAAATATATTGAAAATTATAAAAGTGTTTTGAGCTGTTCATTTTGTTGTTCTTTTAACACAAACAGTTTAGTAAAACAGTTAGTAAGGTAAAAACATTTTGCATAAAATATTTCTCAAGGAAAAGTTATTTTATGAAAGTTAACTTTTGTAGATATATAAGAAATGAAGATAAAATGCCCTTTTGCCCAAAATTAATACATATAATATTATTTTAAAAACAACCAAAAAGTGTCTTTGGAGATTTTTAGATCTATAAATCAGAGTAGTAACATGTAAGTATGCCACCTGTATTTCGTGCTATGTTATTTCATATATTTTGAAATTTATGGCCTCGATTCCTCTGTAAATAAATTAAAATTTCTTTTAGAAGTCCTAGGTATCATTTAAAAAAAGATCTCTTCAGTGTAAAGCTATGAGCAGGTTAGAGGCAAGTCAGTTAAAAATTGAGGTTCCCCAATGTCTGAATGTCCATGAAAAACATCTTTGAAAACATTTTAAGATATTTCCAGAGAGCCAGACAATGATGATTACTAGATTGTAAGGTAATTATGCTTAGACCCAGCAACTACTATCACAACCTATGTATGCAGGCAAACTTGACAGATGACTTTAGTCCTTAAACAAAGAAACTTACAGCCCGTGTCAGTTGTCTGAAGTCAATCTTCGCCAAAATATTATGTTTACTTTTCATCAAACAAGGATAAAAGGTAGACGGAAAAGACTATTTCGATTTCTCTTCACTGGCACAGATACCTCAAAAAAGGAACATGGGAGCAATTGAAAAAGCATGTTGTAATAGGCCATTCATTATAATTACGGATGGATTAGTAAGAAGAAAATCACATAAAATAAATGTTAAGGAAAAAATACACTAAAATTATTTATATACTTTAGAATTCAATAATTTTTTTTTTCAAAAATATATAAAATTTTTTTGTCGTAAGTGCAAAATAGGAAAGTAAAATGCATGGATCGTTGAACTGTGATAAATCTGATCTTGATATTATGATGTAAGAAAAGTTGATCACTTTGAAGGAGGGTGTTTAATCACAAGTCTTATTCAAAACATTAAATTTTGAAATTTAAAAGTCATCCGAGAGAAATCTCCCCCCCCCCACAAAAAAAAAAAAAAAAAAAAGTTGTTACCGAACCAACATTATCGATTTTTTCTCTTCTTACCTAATGGAGACAGTCTTTTAATGAAATTAATAATTTACTTCGAAAAACAATAAACAGGTTGAATATTTTTGAACGAGGGGATTTAAGAATTAAGTTCAATTTTATACAAAAATATAAAAATCGAATTAATATACCAGCGCAGCCATCACATTAATTAAAAGGAAAATTTAGTCCAATTAGAATCTGTGATTTTTTTCCCGGAAACTTGCTTATATTTTTAAAATTAGTAATAATAATGAAGCATGAATCTAATAAACCATTTTTTCAAAACTTTTGTTCATATTTTTAGCCTAACTGTTACCTTTGAGTTATTTAGGCACAATTATTTGTATTATGATTATATTATAGAGAAAACTGTAAGCGTTCACTGAAGAAAGCCATTCTTTTAAAAGGGGTCAAATAAGAAAAAGGTTAGGTTAGGTATAACTGCAGAGGCCATCTATTATTTACTATGAAAGTAAGTAGGTAAAGTCTTTATACTATCTTTCCTGATTAACAACTCATATCTGGGCTCACTGTTTCATTCTGGTGCCAAGGCGTAACTGTTGTCTAGTATAACCCACATTGCAAGCTTTGCCACCGCTCGGCAATGTGAGTTGTCTCATCTTATATTCGGACCTAAGGTATTATTGAAACGTTTACGCTACAGCATTTACACTCAGTAGTTACATAGCTATTACATGACTCAGTCTACATCTTTAAAAACTTGATCAAATTGAGTATTTGTTGTTTACACTTGCTACATTTATGTATTAATTCAATGTTTGCTGAAGGAACATTAAGAGAGCATTTTTTGGCACTGACATGGAAATTCCGCAATGAAGACCGTAAATTCAGATTAAAATTCGAAAAGCTAAACAAATCGGCATGAGATGAAAATTATATGCTTGCAATGTGCGTGAAAAGTAGAATCAAAATAATTAATTATTATAATTCTGTGCTAATTAGTTGATGAGAAGAGCTTTTCTGATTTATTCACTAGTCTCTTTTGTTATTTTGAATTAGCCTCTTCTAGTAAGGAATGGAAAGAGAGGTGTTATACATAGAAACACTTATTTTTGAGAATTCTGGTAAAAGTTTAAGCAAATAAACATACAAATTTTAAGATAAACGCTATTAATTTTGAACTATTCGGCAGATATTTATAAAATTTATAATCTTGAAGTCTGTTTCTGGAGCTGATTATAGTGATGGTTGAATTTTCGCAATTCGCTAATTGGTTGTGTTTATATATATATATCCTTGATTAAGGAAGCACCCCACGGCTCTATTGTTCTCTTTGTCTAGGGAGTTGCACCTTTGTGTATGGGGAAGAGAATGCTTCATCGTAACAGCACTGGCTTTGTTACTTACTAGTGGTAAGATGAATTAATAAATTCATTACGATCTTGGGTATTAATTATCCGATCAAAATAAATTTTTTGACTGTCTAGAACTAGATAGCTATGAGCTAACGGATTCAAAGATATCTGAAATGAGTCACTTAGCTTTGAATTCTACATTTTTCTGTTGGACGATAAAACAGTTTCACTTCCTATTGTTCAGTGGATATTCTTTCACTTGCCGAATTCTTTCCTTTGGGCTAGCGAGAAATTTAACATTTGACTAATCACGCAACGTGGTATAAACACTGATTTATTAATTACTTGAGTGCCGTTGGTTGTATAGCGATAAATGTGCCTTCATATTAATTCTGAGATAATTCTGGAGGTGGTGATACTACTTTTAAAGTTGTGGGATGCATTACAGTTGATCTGTCTGCAGTCACCCTTTGTTCATTCAATAACACAACATGCGAAAATTATTAATTAATAATTTCTACACCTGAACTCTCCTCTTAATAGGAGTTGTATTCATATATGTATAATAAATAGTTCTATGCAATGACATAATAACTTAGATAGCTGCGAAGATGTTTTCCGTATTTATATGGGAAAATTGTGAAGCTTTAAGATATGCTTCTGACACTGAATCGCAATCTCTAATCTACAGATTCATTTATGATACTGGAAGCCAGAATTTCAAGACTTTATTTGATTTCTTTATGTTTGAAATTTAGCGCAGACTTATATTTGTTTGATAGATAATTTACAACTTTATCTTGGAATTTTAAGTATCAGTAAAACATAGTTATGAATTGTCGAATTAGATTACTTTTATGTTTAACTTACCTTAAATTAAAAATGATTAAACTTGAGAAACCATTAATTTACTACTATCTTGTATATATGAGATTGTTATATAATGTTATGTTTTATGTTTAGCCGCACTCACGGAGGCGAACTGATCGATGGAACTCCTAAATATGCAGGTGACGCTAAACCCGCGTTTCACTACGTAACAACTTACGACGAGGAAAAAGGCGATGACAAATTAGGAAAATCCTTGGGAATTATTCATAATCCTTATGGAATTTTACATCAGATCAGTGGACCCTCTGCTTATAGTGGGAATCATTTCGCAAATCAAAAGGTAAGCTAATAAGATATGACGGATACCTTGATTTTTCTTTACGTGCTCGAAAAAGCAACATCACATTATGTATTAATGGCATAATCTAAAATTATATGCTAATAATCTAAAATTATATGTTAAGCAAAATTAAACCTGAAATAGATGTACAAAAGGATGACATAAAATATAAGAAAAAGAATCAAAGCAAAAATAATTGAAAAATCTTTTTTTTTTTTTTTCCTTTTAAAGAAAATGCTTGCTATTTATAAGATAAAAATCGGAAATTCTTTGTTTGTAGAATAATTATTCGAAGCACTAAAATAACTACTATATCGACGTTCAACATCATCTCTGTCTAGCTCAATACACTTGCAGAGACCGTTAGCACTTTTTTCGCAGCAAGATACATGAAAAATGTGAAATTTAGTCTCCTGGATTCGAACTCTAAGCTTTCCGATTGCTAGATTGACTTGTTTTTCAATTACACCACGAAGGTACGCAGTTATAATATGTTATTTTAAAACAGACACTTCAGCGCCATTCCCAGCCCCGCTTCATTTGCAATGCGTAACTCGTGTCGTCATCACCGCACAACATTTATTTCCTCCGCGTCATTTAAGACTGCATTTGAAATCAAACTTTATTCGCCTGCTTTTCATGAAGCGAAATACGCTAAACAGAAATGAAGTAGGTGAAAAAATTAAGCGAGTCGCTTGTTTTCTCCGAAACTGTTGTTTCTATGGTTACGAGTGAAATTAGGAAGCGGAAAAAATATGAAAGTTCGTATTTTAAAGTAACAGGCTACAGGAAGGAGGAAATACCTTCCATTCTCAACCTGCTAATGGCGGCAGGAGGACCAACCGCGAAGTACTAGAAGTGACGGAATATCGTCAACCATCTTTTAGTTCAGGAGCCACTGTAGAGACCATTTTGCATTTTATTTCGGAATAGAAGACTTGAAAAATGTGCAGTGCCCTCTCTGACATTCGAACTCAGGATCTTCCGACTGTTACCTGGACGTGCTTTTTAGTTACACCACAAAGGCACCCTAAGAGACCAAAAATACCTTACACATTTACACAGTGCAACACCGCAACAAATGAATTGTTTCTGATGAGCACAATTATTCAAGCACGGGCGAATGAACCTCGTTGTCTTCTCGCAAAGCAGCACTAGTCAGTTAATGTCTTAGAGCATGATAGCACCCACATGGCACTCCCTTTCTTAAAAGTACTGTTTCAGTTTTTCACCATCATGCTCACCACAGCCGCAATATGGCGAGAAGAATCCTCCGCACTAGTGAACCTGGTCTTAAATTTTCCAATACATTCATTCACTTATGTACGTCTTGTACAATATTCACTGCAGTGAATTTTCATTTAATAACAAACCTACTTAAGTTTAATTTCCTTTTATAAATAAAATTCTTACAATGCGTCACTGTCCCTGTTAGCTTAAGATCACGGTCTCGCACATGCAACACAACAACCATATAAATCATACACGCGATTTTTAACGTATCTTATTTTATTTCTTTAAACGATATAATGTATTTAAAATTAAGACAAAAAATTGCTTTGGTAAAATGCATGATAATTTAAATTAAACAAAAAAAAAAAAAAAAAAAAAAAAAAACTGAAATTTTTCAGATTTTAAATTACGTCCAAAGGGGCGTTTTTTAACATTTTGATGTTACCTTTATTTATTAAATATCATGTTCCTCGCACTTAAACCATAAGATTCAGTGCAACAGCAATATCGCAAAATAATGTTAAATTAAACGCATATCTTTAGAATTTCCGATATACAGAGACTCGCGAGCTGGAGATAAAAATGTTTTTTTTGCACAACGTTGCCATTGCTCGCTTTGAAATCCTTGAGTTTGTTAATCAAAAATTCGTCAAAGTTTTAAAAAATAGGAAATCGATCATAAAACAATTTCAAATTTGGGATTTCCAAATGCTCATATTCGTTGGAGGATTACGTTATTCAAAATTCGATGACTCTATGTACCGTTGTTTTATCACAATACGAGAAATATACATACATTTATGCAGATTTTTCATTATTTAATTTCTTCAAATATAATGCAGGACTCTAACATTTTGTGGCAACAGTTTGAAAAGTGAACCGACATTTATGAGTCCGACGCAAAATGCCAAAACGAAACTAATAGTCCTTCGGGATTCAAATCCCTTTGGACTAAAAAAAAAAAAAAAATCTGAAATGTTTCAGATTTTAAATTACGTCCAAAGGGGCGTTTTTTAACATTTTGTATGTTACCTTTCTTTATTAAATATCATGTTCCTCGCACTTAAACCATAAGATCCAGTGCAACAGCAATATCGCAAAATAGTTTTAAAACGAGCATACCTTTAGAATTTCCGATACAGAGACTCACGCGCTGGAGATAAAAATGTTTTTTCTGCACAACGTTGCCATTGCTCGCTTTGAAATCCTTGAGTTTGTTAATCAAAAATTCGTCAAAGTTTTAAAAAAATAGGAAATCGATCATAAAACGAATTTCAAATTTCAAATTTGGTTTTCCACATGCTCATATTCGTTGGAGGATGACGTTATTCAAAATTCGATGACTCTATGTACCGTTGTTTTATCACAATACGAGAAATATACATACATTTATGCAGATTTTTCATTATTTAATTTCTTCAAATATAATGCAGGACTCTAACATTTTGTGGCAACAGTTTGAAAAGTGAACCGACATTTATGAGTCCGACGCAAAATGCCAAAACGAAACTAATAGTTCTTCGGGATTCAAATCCCTTTGGACTAAAAAAAAAAAAAAAAAAAAAAAAAAATAAATAAATAAAAAAACGTTTTTTGACTAGGATTTTAAATAAAGTTCTATAGATTTCGAGAATGATCAGACTCAGGTTTCTCTTCTGCAGGAGCAATACAGATCTTGCTCCTAAATTTGTTCCCTCTTCTTCAGGGACAAAATAAATTTTTGCTCCTAAAGAAGAGAAAGTTATGTCTGATCGTCCTTGAAATCGATAAAATTTTATTCAAAACCTACGCCAAAGTAAGTTTCTTTTTTGCATGATTTTAAATTTTACACTGTCTTCCATTTGTTTTTTTTTCCTGCCAATTGGTATGATAAGAAATGAATGTACGATGATTAATAACTGATACTATAAAGCATTTATAAAAGCGCATTACTTATAAAGTTTGTATTAATTAAAAATTTTCTCTTTTTAGTAGCTCTCAAATTGCGCAAGATATTGTTTAACAATAATTAAATACTATGCTTTTTCATTTTTCTTCACGATTCAACGACTATAGCATCACTCGAAGTAGTATAGAGAACGAGAAAACTTTTCCAATAAATAACTATAATATTTTCATCCGCTGTAGAAATACTATTATTTTTCCTTGTTATTCGCCTCATTTGCATATAACTATATTTGTCTACTATAGAACAGTGTATTTTTTGTAAGAGCAGAGTTGTCTCCGATCACTCTTCCAACAATCATATTCTCTACGTATTGTTTCATTAATTGTTGTTGCTTATGCTCATTTTTCTTGCCAAGCCCACGAAATTCTTCGTGGCAAGGAGCGCTAGACTACGCCTGCCGTTGGCAATAATCTTGAGTTATTCAGGTGACAGTGCGATTTAGCTCCGCCCCCACTTTTGATGAAGAGTACCCCGGGAAGGACGGGTCCGAGGGTCTTTCACCCCACTCCCCCTTCCACAAACCACACGAGAGGACTTTCGGCTCGCCGCATATTCAGAGCGCCGCCGTGCCGCACCAACACTATACATTTAAAAACATCCATGCCTTCTCCGAGATTCGAACCCCGGCCCTTCGGCACGCCAGTCAGCTACGTTAACCACTATACCGGTTAGGGCGGCATGGATATTTTTAAACGACTGTAATAACAAAAAACATCTGTTTCCCTTTGCTGAAATAATGAAAATGACCGTAAGAAATGGTTTCATCAAGGTATAGAAAAATTCCCAACGGCATTCATGGTAGTTCCAGGATTTTATTTCAACAGTAAATTAAAACTCAAAATAGGTAATTTTCCCTCAAATTCTGAAAGAAAGCCCGGGGTAGGCGGATTCAACAGGTCCAACTCTGTGCCACCAATTCTCTCGATAGGACTACTTTTTAGTCGTCATGTCTTTAACCTGCTTCTGTTCCGCAAAAGCCACCACTTACAATTTTACAATCAAATTTACCCTATACTCTATACACTTACAATAAAATTTTTGCAGGATTTGAAGTCAGGCTCAAAAATACGGCAACCAGTATCTCTAATTACTATACGATTAGGGTAGCGCAAGTTTGTTTAAGGAATTTTATTTAATTTTCGCAGATATGAGTTTCTATTAAAAGTCTGTGATCTACAAAATTAAGAACGGTACTTTCTGGTTATTTGCATCCCCACAGAAAAGTGCAGAAAAAGTGTTCATGAAGACGCACTGTGTCGCCAAAATAAGTACGTAAAAAATCAAGATATGGCTAAGTTTCTGTAGTTCTCTGATTTTTTTTAAGCGAGAACAGATCGCTGAATACACGTAGAGACGTGTAGTGTACAAAAATTACAAAAATATTTCTTGAAAAATTTAACTGTTTTATCATTGGCGTTTCCGGCGTTTTTTGGCAATAATTTTATTGACTGATTGCTCTTTTATGGAATCCCTAGTTTTCCGCCATTTTTAAAATGACTTTGTGTTTGGTGCATTAGCTTGGCGAAACATTTCGAAATCTCATCAAAAAGTACCTTGTGATGGAAAGAACTCCGTTCCTCTAGACAGTCGCCAACGAGTTCACAACTTTTCGGCAGGAGTGCAGATAATCAGAAGGCATCGTAAGATCTATAGAAAAGTAACTAAATTTTAATTATTTTATGGCTGAAATCACAGTTTTCCGATACTTTTGGATATCCATTTTTACTGTTCAATTTAGATGCTATCATCAAAGACTTATATATTGAATGATAATTATCTTTGCTTAAGTAATTTTTTAATGAACAGGTAGCGTTTATACCTGAATTAGGATCACCCGAAGTTTCTCCCTATGCCCAAAAGGATTCATCTAGTTATGAACAAGCTCAAGGTGAGAAATTTTCACCAGTGTCACCTCTGATCTACGGTGGTCCTCATGGAGTCCTCCCTGGATATACCGGTCAAGTAAAATATATACAGACTCCAGTATACGAGAAGCAGTCCTCATATGGAGCTCAAGGAGAATCTTTCTATGATGTTACAACGCAACAAAAGGTAGTTCCTGTTAAGGTAAGAGAATAAACATTGTTGTTTAAATCCATAATTATTAACTCAATTTATCAATAAAATTCTTTGATTCCTAAAATTATAATACAAGATACAATATAGTATAAGATAATATATATAATACAAGATAAAATATAATATAAGCTAATATATCTAATATAACTACAGTATAATATAAGGTAATATATATAAGATGCAATATAATATAAGGCCCTAATATAATACAAAATAGCTATTTTTAAAGGCTTTTCCATTAGGAAAAATTTCTATATAACAAATTTTTACAGGACGACGAGCAAAATATTAAATTCAAAGATTGTATCTTTTACATACAGACATAATTTTGAATAATATCGACTTAAATGCGCCTGTATCGTGTCACGGAGTCGTTTAAGAAGAAAGAGAAGACTACTTTGTGAATAAAGCCCGTTATTCGCTTCCTAGCAGCAAGAAATGTGACTCAGGCAGAGATTTATCTCCAGTTTTGAAGTGCTATGAATGATCGTGAAATTCGCAATGTCTTAAATGTTAAGATGCAAGAAGTTGCCCTCTCGTGGTATCTGGAAGTCCTTCCCAAGGGACACAAAGCGAAGAGATTAATCAGAGTTTTAGCATATTTGATCCGATGCTATGAGGAAGGTGATGCGCTGTTTAGCAACGACTGACATGGGTTTCAAACGTGGCGTTTGAATCCAAGCAGCAGTCTTTGGATTAACGATATGTTTCTGATCACAGAAGAATGAAAAAGACAATCTCAACTAGCAATTTTAAGATAATTTTAATTTGCATCAGTTGCGATCCTTTTTATGAATTTCATGCCGGAAGGGGAACAATGAACGCAGTTGTATATTATCAGATTATGAGGATACTCCGCCTCGCAATTCAAAATAAATGCCGCGACATACTGTCTTCCAGAATTCTGTTGCTTTACGATAATGCGAGGTCTCATACAGTTGCTCAAACACAAGCTTTAGGGGAATCTTCTGGTTGATAGCAATTGGATCATACTCCATGCAGCCTAGACTTACGTGAACAGATTATCACGTTTTTCTAAATCTGAAAAGATTCCTCTTACGAAGTGCTTCCAAATCGATGAAGTTGAAACCAAACGAAAACGTGATGAAAACGAAATTCAGCAATGGCTAAATTTTCTGGCGGCATACCTATATAGGTCTGCAAACTTTTGTCTCATGTCTTACAGTGGTAAAGTTAAGCAGAATTTGATAAAAATTAGAGTATTCGAAATGTTTAGTGGTTCAGTTTTTATTGCAAAATTATCTTTACTAAAAATATCCCTAAAAAAAGTTAGAGGATTGAATTCGATGATGATTTACATCGAATCGATGATGATTACCGACTGTTATTTACATTTCAGCAACATCACAATTGCTTCTGCATTAGACCCTGCAGTCCTGCACTATTTTGATTATGATCACTGAGTGTTCGTAACATTCTCTGAGACGATACATCATTTTTTTCAACTATTCATATAACTCGCTTCTATTAAATGTTCTCTTAACTGTCCTTATATTTCAAATTCTGGCTCCAGCCATATAAATAGACCTTATGAATTACTATAGATGGGTGCACGACATGAGCCTAAGTACCACTGGCAGCAGAATTCTAACTAAAATTTGCTTACTTCTAATCAAATCTTCATGTGAGTATACTAGTGCAAAGAATCAAAGGTCTATACCTTTCTATTACTACTCTAAGTTTTCGATAAGGCACATGAGCCTATGAATCTTAAATGTGCCCCATTCAGAAAAAGCACTAAAGTAAAATATATCCGTATCTTACCTTCGAATAGCCTAACATGATTAACATACCTACTGAGCGACAATAGTTGCTTTGAAATTCTTACCAGAACTAACGGTAAGAATAAAGGTCGAAGGAAAATACATTATTGTAAAGAAATATCATCTGATTATGATCTCTACGTGTAATTAATGAATTGTTTAAAGAAGAGATGAAAAAATGAAAGGGTGAAGAATGAAAGAAAGTGAGTTTATGAAGGAGTTACCATTCGAATAAGACTAGCCTTATCTTTATATGATTCGAATTAACGATAAAACGTTTGTAGTGAAAACATTAACAATTTTATATTAAATAATTCTCGAATAATAAATTTCATTGAAGAAATGCTGCAGAAAAGAAAGTAAGTAATGATGTATGTATGCAAAACTCTAATATTGTGCAAATTACCTAATATAATAATTTTTATCACTTTTCGTGAATGTCAATTATATGCATTTTCTTGTTCCATTCTACAGGTTAAAGGATTTCAACCATCCAGCTACGGTAAGTTGTTACCAATCCCAGAATATAGTGGTGTTGTCGACTTCAGCTCCTATAGCGCCAAAGCTAAGAAGAAAAATGCGGATCCAAACCACCTGTACAGTACACAGTATAAAAATGTTGGAACTCGCTTGAGTACCAACTATGAACGTTCTCAACCAAACGTTCCATCGGTAAAGAAAACCAAAGCATACGCTCTCATTATCCAAAAGCAACAGGAAGCCGAAAATACCAACTTCAGACCTATAGTTTACCCGAATCACAGCAACAGAGGTTCAAGCAAGATTTTGTTGGATAATTTAGGACTACATAACTTTAGATCATTTATGCCAAAATCTGGGAATTCAGGAACTGGAGTTGGTTATTACAATTTACAAACGTTACCAACGTCTTCAAGATACTCTGCGGAGCAGGTTTCGAAAAGCAGTCCTAAAAATCATTAAATCCATATGAAGTTAACAAGATTTTAATATTTAACATCAGAGAGTTTAAAATATATATATTTTTAATTTAATAGGATGTATGAGTACAACTTCGGGACGTAAGAGTATCTATTGAAGATCCCTGCTGTCTTGAAACTTGTCAAAAGATTGATTCTTGATATCTATTTTACTTCGGAATACAGCACTGTCATTGACGAAATTATGGAGAAATGAAATAGCATATTCTATTAATCATTTAACGATTCTTTTAGAGTAAAAATAGTTAAAATAATCTTGCTAAATATTTATTGCAGATCTATTTAGAAAATACCTTGGGTAAAATATTTTTTCGTAACTAAATTGAGTTCTCAGCTTTAAGTTTAATAATTGTTGGTTTGTATTGCCTAAAATACAGATAATTTTTAGATTTAGAAACTAACACAAATTTGGTATAATTTCGCTTCTCTTTCGTGTTTGTCAATTAGGTTCTGGATTATGAAATAAATAATTAAAACATGACTCAGACTAACAAAAAAATGGTATCTAGGTGAATGCTTCATGATGTCTGCTTCCTACGACTGATAAAAAAAAAGTCTAAATTTTTAACAGCTTAGTAATTAGCTTTCTTACCTCAGTTAAGAAGAAAATCATAGATCCGAAACAATCGCAAGAATACTTAAAAAATGTGCTAGTAAATTCACAAAATTTGGAATCCGATCAATCATTAAGGGAAACAAGAAAATTATTATGTTATATTTTTTAAGTGACTAGAAAGCAAAGTCTTAATCACTCATATAACTTATTTGATATTAATACTGAAGTTTTTCATGCAAATGATACACCATTTTATCTCTGTGTTTTTAGCTTGAAAGAAAAATGTATGTTTGTGCTACGATATGTACAAAGTAAGTAAGTTTTATTACAACGCCTATTAGTATTCGCTAGACCTGTGGAAAGATAAAAATTTCGGAGCTGTAGAGTATTTGAGTTATAAAAGGGACATAAAACATAAGACAGTCATTAACTATAAGAAATTAATGACTGAAAATTAGATCTGGGGGAAACAATTACTGCGATCTTGGGAAAAAAGTTACTTCAATCTGTTATCTGACACAATTAATTAGTTTCCAGAAGTTTCTTTTAACTCAAAATCGCACCTTTTGAAATCCATGCATGATTTTCCATAAAATGTATTCTTATACTCTTATTTCTTTGAAATTAAATTTAGATTACTGTATTTACACTGCATCTAACATAGCATAAATTCCTTATAGGAAATGCTATATAACCATTTTGTTTTTTTACTTGAATAAAAAATATATAACCAGAAATTTAAAATAAGAAATGAAGTTATGTCCCACATAGCAAATATATTTCCCCAGGCAATCCTAGAGAGGTTCACGGGATCATATTACATTCTCAGGACATGCTGGAACATCCCGCTAATTTATCAAGCATATTCTCTCGAATGCTTAATGTCGCTTCTCAATACATCCCCATAAAAACCTCTTCGACGTTGTACGAGATATTGCAATGGTTTAAAGATCTACATACCATCTGCAGAGCCATCCCGGAATAGCTTCCTAATACATTCTGCTGCATGCGTAATGTCATATTTTAATACCGCTAGAGCATCCTCGAGCAAATTCAAAAACCTAAATCGCTAGAACTAAAAGTAAAGAACTTCAGAACACCTGATGACGGAAGTCCTGCAGAAAATGCAGAACAAACTTTTCTCGTGATGTTAAATGGCCAAACACTCAAGACATCTGAGAATCAACAGCTTTAGGACATCTTCGCACATTCCTCTATCCCTACTCTAATTTTGTTATAAACTTAAACAAAACGCACTCAGTATGTTAAATTATGAAGTCTTCAGGCCACCTGAAGAATTAAGATTCTTAGAATATCCTCAGTAGTCCTATTTAAAGTCGAGGCTTTTTGACATAAATAGGACGTTCACTGAATTTCTTTGCTGTGGGGAGCATGCCATCAGAGTATTGTGAAATGCAAACTTAATTGCAATGCTTGGAGATTTATGCAAAAGTTTCTAAGGGATTAGGGATTTCTGCCTAATTTAGGAGACGTATGGTTTCATTTCACAGAACTAAAAATGGAGATTCAGTATGATTAGGTCTAGAAGTTCATATTGAAAGTATAACGAAGTTTGAACTTTACTTTCTTTTAATAAGCAATAATTAAAAAAGACTAGATTATAATTCAGATAAAGGAAATAATTATACAATCCATCTGTTTATTTTCTGGAATTTTTATCTTGGAGCAATTTTATGCATACTGAATATAAACTGGATATTTAACGAGATTGTATATAATTGTCTATATAGATTGCATATGATTGCCTTTTTTTTTTCTTAAAATTCAGTATTGAATAAATTGTCATTTTTTATTTCAAAGATTTCTTCCCGAATATAGATCAGACTAAATAGTTATTGAGATACATCAGCTGTTCATATTTGCAACATATTTAAATGTAAAAAAAAGATGAATTCATGACTGTATGGCTTAAAAATTTCTCTGTTGAGGGGAGTTTACGTACTCGAATTATAAAATGAAAAAAGAAATTTTAAAAAAGTCTGTGTGCTCAACTAAACTTTGGAAAGAGTAACTTTAACCATATACATATTAGAATTTCCTTTGAATTAAATGGAAAAAATACTGTAGTATTCCTAATTTTAAAAGTTATTTTAGAATTCAAATACAATGCTGCTAAACTTTTAATATTTTCACAAATATTATTGCTTTTGAACTGATATTTTATGTTTTTAGAAATTAAAATCCTTGACTGCTTTCTGCCTACGACTAGCATTTTCAGTTCAAGCACTGACATATCAAAGGTTATTTTTTAATTGAAATTTTATTATTTCCGAAAAAAAATAAATCTCGAGGCATGTTTACTGTCTAGTTTTCATAATTTTGATTAAATATAGACTGTACAGACAAGTTTATATCTGAGGTGAAACTTCTTATGAACTCTGTAATATAGTACACAAATAAGCCTAAAATGTGATATAATTTTTAAGAATTTAAAGTTACTCAGTTTTCACAACAGATAAAGTGAATTCAGTGCAAGAGCTGATTTAGAAACGAGCTTAACAAGAAGTACTATAAGCAAATTTTAGGTTTTTAAGTGAACAAAAAATGTGCTAATTTCAAATTCTTTACTAAGCCTGCTGTTTAAGAAAATTGCATTGAGTAGAATCGTTATGCTTTGTAGTGAATTTACTATTTAGCGGACATAATGGGATTTAAAGAATTTTTTACAGAATCTCAGAAATGTAAAATATTGTGTATAAAATATGCCTTAAAGTTGAAGCAATTCCTGTTAAGTATTTATATTGACTAGTCTCTGTTTGCTGAGTTGATAATTTGTACATACATCATTTATTTTTTGTTATGTTTTGTACATTGTTTTCAGTAACCAATAAATATTTTAAAATGAATTATGTCTATTTTCTTTCATTTGAATAATAAATCTAATTTAATTAATTTTAACTCCAGCAACGAATAATAGGATCAAATTCAAGGTGAGGATTGCATAGCAAGTACTATAGATAGAGATAAAATAATCATAATTTATTAATTTAAATCATGTACTATAAATATTCAAGTTGTAATAGGAAATAATATTTTACTTGCGGAAATGTAGCATTTAGTTGACTGACTACTTTATCAGAATGATTAGCTTAATTAAATTGAAAATTTAATGTTTCCAATATCCGTTTATCTCTGCTTTAGTGATACAAAACTACCCAAGCTATAATCTGATGTAGTTTTTATTTTTGAAATGTAATCGATTTAATTATTTCTAATAAGATATTGCAGTATTATTCTTACACACTGTCGTTACAATGTATTTCAAAGTTTTGGAGTTCGATTCAAAGCTCTCAAAAGTTTCGACAAAATATGGAATAAAAAATACCTTCCTGCTCAATTTGATTCCATATGGCAATTCAGAATTTCCTTATTCTTACCCTGTCTCGACGATCCACGCGAGTAACGGCTATAAAATAATGTTTCAAGCGAAAAATGCTGTCCCCCCAAAAATGTGTCGCTTGGCGCAGAACCGCTTCCTTTCCAGCTACTGAATTAGATTGAATAATCTGATTAAGTTAGAGAACTCGAGCACTATCTGCCGGCGGGGATGCCTTCATGGAGAACTTTCTATGGGAAATCACTCGTATTTACATTAGACGTGGGAGAAAAACACAAAAATTCTTCTTTCTTCGCGATTTGAAAATCAATATTCAGCTATCCTGCCCTCAGTTGCTGATGGGGCGTATGACGCAAGATACACTTTTAAACTGGGGGGAAAAAAAAAATTGTAAGCAATTTAACTGTATTGTAACTTTTCGAAATACTCTGCTTAAAAGCCACAGGAACAGCATACAATATTATTAGTTTTGATAAGCTGTTAACATAAAATCCAAAATCTTAATGTTTGTTCGGAACTACCTTGTATAAGTTTAGCTAACCCAGGTAAAATTTATTTAGTCGCATTTTGCGTTTTGACGGGAAGCTAAAGGATTTATTTTCTAATTTCATTGTAAAGCAAGTTTTGAAAGAGATCTAATAAGACCGAAAAGTTTTAAGTAAGAATTTATTGACATGAGGCAACATTTAACTTTCATAAACATAAATTAATGCCAAGGAGAAAGCGAAGTAACACCATAAATTCCCTTCTTGCAAAGTGTGATTAGCTAGTGCCACTAGTATATTATATTATGATATCATACTACAATTTAGATTAAAATTTTAGTTTATTTTTCTTCTAATAAGCAACAATAATAAATGGCTATATGTAATGTAAAGCCAAATTACATAATGTAAATAAAATACGATTAAAGACGTTTTTATATTATAACCCTTTATTTAATATGAATAGGATAATTTAGCACTAAAAAAAGAAAAATAATTTATTACGTAGTTTAATGGGTATAACAGATTAAATAATTCTATTTACAGAATTCATCTACAATTTTACATCGGGAATAATAAAAGCGTGGGCGCCCATGGTAAATTAAAAAATATAATGGCTTATACACTTGATAATGTATAAATTAATAGGTATCGTTACTTAGGCGTCCTGCGGTTTTATTATTTGCGATATAAAATTGTAGATGAATTCTGTAAATAGAATTATTTAATCTTTAATCCCATTAAACTATGTGATAAACTATTTTTCTCCATTTAATGCATGAATTTGCATATCCATTTGAAATAGCAGCTTATTCTATAAAAACTCTTTTTTTTAAACTGTATTTTGCTTTCACTTTTTCACTCTCATTTACACGTGATCAATAATGAAATGTTTAGCCATTATTAAAACAAAAGCAATAAATTATAAGAAAGCTATAAAAGATGAAAATGTAGAAAATCGCTTAATTAATATGTTTCTTTTATTATTGTTTTAAAAGAGCGCGAAAAAACTGTTTTATAATCTGCTAAAATTTTAAACTTTATACATGATACATTTTAAGACGTTTAAATTTTAAAATCATAATCGCCAAATAGGCACGAAGATATGAGCTCAAAAACCGTTAACAAAAAAGTATAAATCCAATTTTGAAATAATCGCTTCACTGCATTGCATTGTCACCAACTAACAGCTTGTGTATAAATTTAAAAATCGATGACAAAATTCCCCTCACAGTGAAGCACTGCGAGCGAACTAAATAAAAACTATTAAAAATGCCAAACATTTTAATTTAAACAGCCATAAAAACATAAAATGAAGGTGTAATCTCTGTTTATTTATTTGACTAGTAAAGCCGTAAATGCTTTACTAGCAACTATTTCTCTACTAGTAATGACTGTATAGTAATTTAAAACTACTAAAGAAGGCTAAATTTAGACTTGAACGTTCCAGATAAAGTTTGGAAAGAATACAAAGGGAAACAGCCGAATAACCGAGCAAGCTAAAAGAAAGAAAATAAAAACATGTTTAAATTTACGATATTTTGTTCCACTCAGTCGCTCGAGATCGAAAGGCATGTCAGGTCGTCTAACGCTATTTAAAGACACAATTTCGTTTTTCATAGGAGTATTGAACATTACCCCGCAGTTCATTTTCCTTTCGTAGATAATATGCTATTGTGAACCATTTTTGAAGCTCGAGTGATCCTACGTTAAAGTGACCAAACGTCCCAGATAGTGAGGGGCAATCCCGCATCTAAGTGGAGTGTCCTGCACAGTTCAGAATCCCCCCCCCCAAAATATCCCATACTCTGTGAATATTTTTGGATTTTTACTGTCTTGTATGAAGTAAAGAAGTACTGTAATCGCCAGAAATTTCGGGTATCATATTTCAACGGAGATATATTTTTTTACCCTCGTCGAATCCAACTGGACGATTGTTTGTGTGACGTGTGTACGTACGAACAGAATAATAGGCCCCTTTTTTCCAAAACGAATTGTAAAATGGATTAAACACGGATTCAAAAGGTTTTTTTTTTTTTTTTTTCGTGACGTCTGTACGTACATGTATATGTGTAGCTCGCATTATAATACAAAAAGGAACATAAAAATAAGCTAAAAATTAAAAAAACATTTTTAAACCCGTCCTGCGCTATAAAGGCAGGTTGAAGCAGTATGGACATATAGCATTTAACGTTAATATTAAATATATATATATATATCACACGTATATATACTTTAATATAGATATATATAAAATACATATATCCACCCGTTTCCAGCTTAAAAGTCTTTCCTGGCTTTTATTTTCGCAATAGTTAATCGTAGTCATATGCTTCCAATTTTCAGAACTGTTTTAAATGACAAAAAATTTATGTTTTGGCAATGTCAAATTTTAAAAAGAAATTATTTTTAACAAATAACGAAATCTAACTTTTAATGCAGTCTCTCGGTTCCTATACTTATATCTGAGAAATTTTTAGACTCGTCATGAAAAAATAAAATTATAAGAAATTTTACTCCCGTAAGATAAAAATTGACTGGGATATTGAATTTCCAAATTTGTAATTTTTGGTGTCATTTTCAACTTGTCTTTAGAGATCGTTTAATTTTGATCAATTATACAAAATAAGTTTAAATAAAATGCAGCAAAAATGTGTATTTAATAGCCATCTGGTGTCCACATCAGATTTTTTAAATATAACAAACATGAATTTTGCATGCGATCATGAATAATCTTTTGCGAGATCAAAAATTCATTAATAATGGAACATTCGAGCTTTCTAGATATACATTATAGTGAATTTGCAAGGTCCACATGTTTTTTTTTTTTTTTTTTTTTTTTTTGTTTGTTATCTCTAATTTTAACTCTTTGTGTTCCACAAAGTATACCACGAGGCTTACGCAAATAAATACTAGCACTAAAATATAAACAAATGTACAATAGCAGCGCAAACGGGGATAAATTATTCAAAATAAGTGAATAAATAAACAATTCGCATAACTTAATTTTATATTAAAACAAAAACAAAAAAATAATTCTGAAAGTTGATTGAACATCTTAATAATGTTATTTACTGCTAACCCTTCTGATAGTAAGTAATATTGACTGTGTTAATCCTGCTACTATTAATGATAATGTACCTCCAGAAAATAACGTTAAGACTAAACGTAAACTGCATGAATCCTCAGCTAATTCAGATGAATGTAATGCTAGAGACAGTGATGGATTTGTCAAACCCTCCCATACTGCAAAGCTAATTAAGAAACGTAATAGTGCACGAGATGCCTCCAAATACATCACAACGAAAAATAAATTCAATCCGTTGGACTCAGTTGAAAATAACCTTGATACTCTAAATGAAAATGCTCAAACTAATAACTCGCCTTAGCCAAAATCAGTTCCACCTGTTATGGTCAAACCCCCGAAAGGCAGCAAATTTAACCCTTATCTTAAGCAGTTAGCTGATAAATCTAAGGCCAAATTTTACGAACGAATTAACGGAGAGTTTTTGAAAATTCTGCCGGAATCTTAACCCAGTAATAGTATCTTAACCCAGTAATCTTAACCCAGTATAGCAAAATAGAGCACTACGTGATTAATGAACGGCATGTAAGACCAATTAAGGTCGTCATTCGGGGCTTGCCCTTAGATATGGAAACGAGTGAAATTGTTGATATGCTCACAGAACAGGGCTATATAATTCCTAAAGTTACTCAGGAACTAAAGTTCTCTAAACTTAAAGAACTAGAACTAAACTAAGTTACTCAGGATTCATAAAGTTACTAGGAACAGGATAAGGCAATTAATGCCACTTTTTCAAGTACAGATAATATCCACCCCTAATGTTGAAAATATCTACCCCGCAACCCATATGTCATTCTTCATAGTTAAAATAGTAAAGTATGTAAATAAGAATTTAATTCCCCAGTGTCATAACTGTCAGCAATGTCACCACTCGTCCGATAACTGTTTCTTAGCCCCCCCCCGTTGTGTAAAATGCGCCGGGGAACATAAATCTGCATT